TATTTTTGTCCAAATATTATGTCAAATTTCTTAAATATATTGTTTGTTACGAAAGACTATTTACAGATTTGATCTAGCTCATTTCGTTTAGGAGTAATAAGAAAAACAGAGTGGCGGAGTTTTGTTGAATGACTAGATAACTAGTATTTAATGCGAAAAATTCAACTACCAAGTTGCATTTTTCTAACGAATAATAAGATCATCCCTAAATTTATATTTTGAATTAATATTTTTAATCCTTATATTTTATAAATAATTATTAAACATGAAATTATTAATAGCATTGATGTGTGGATTGGTTTGTATTGTGAGCGCAGACTATCCTATAGAGGACTATAAGGCGGTGGCGAAGTCCCGAAACTTCACGGGAAAAGTGATTTTAGTGACCGGTTCCTCGTCGGGCATCGGAGAGGGAATCGTTAAACTGTTCTNTTTTAGTGACCGGTTCCTCGTCGGGCATCGGAGAGGGAATCGTTAAACTGTTCTCAATATTAGGGGCTAATGTTGTGGTCACCGGAAGGAAAGCACAGGACGTTCAACGAGTGGCCAAAGAGGTCCAAGAATTGTCACCACTAAAATTAAAGGTATATTTAATATTGATTGAAATTTATAATAAATAAATTTATAGTATAACAATCATTTTCTAACAGCCATTAGAAGTTGTGGGAGATTTGACCAAAACCTCTGATGTAAACAATTTAATCGATTCTACGGTCAAAACGTTTGGCAAAATTGATGTATTGGTCAATAACGCCGGTATCCTTATAAATACCAACATTACACAACCGGATCTGTTATCAATTTGGGATCAGATATTTGCTATTGATTTACGCGCTATCGTAGAGATCACTCACCGATCGGTTCCACATTTGGAGAAAACCAACGGAACTATTATTGATATCTCAAGTATTCTCTCAATGGCGCCGGTATTTATTAATAATATATTTATGATTTAAATATGTATCTACATCAATAAATTTAGTTTTCATATCCACACAATACAGTATCATACTTAACATTCTTAATTTTATATCACATTACTTTTATTACAATATTTATTGTTAACATGTTAATTAAAAATTTTAATTTAATTGTTTTTTAGTACAAAAATGCTCTTGCCTTTTCATCGGCCAAAGCAGGTCTGGATATGTTGACCAAAATATTAGCCCTGGAATTGGGGCCCAAAGGTATTCGTGTCAATACTATTACGTAAGTACTATTAAGTTTATGATTAATATGACCGCATCTGTGCATATCTAACTCAATCATTATCATTGATGTCAATAGTCCGGGTGCTATACAAAACAGAGACACTCTGACACCCATTGAAAAGCTTGCGGCCAAATACACGCCATTAGGAAGAGTGGGTCAACCCCTAGACATCGCCCGTGCGGTCGCATTCCTGGCCTCCACTGACGCCCACTTTATTACCGGCGCTAATCTGGTGGTCGACGGCGGCTTTGTATATAATTAGGGTGTTGTTAATACATTGTAAATTGCATTAAACAATCGCATTGTGCTATTAAATATGTACAATATTAATATTGTTTTGCATTGATTATTTCTAAAATTTTTAAATAATTTAAAATTTTAACATTTATGTTGATTAAATTAATTAAAAAATATTATTATTAAAATTTCTATTAATTAATTAACATAATCAAATTATACATATTAAATTAACCTTGTTACAAAACTTTTACTTTTTAATACTAAATACTAACCACACGTTATTGATAAATGTGTTAATAATTTTGTTGTAAAACTTTTTGACTATTAATGAATTGAGTGTTTAATTAAATGTGTGTTTAAAACCGATAATTAAAATATTGATTACAAAAGTAAACCACATCTCATACAGACTGCGAGAGTGAGAGCACAGGTAGGCGTGAGAGATAGGGATTGACATTACCGGTAAGTTAACCGTAAACATCACCAAAACTAATCCACTCATACCGATAGACAAACAGCTGTTTTGATAGGCGAGAGAGAGACGGTGTTTGTGGTTTGTGAGCGGACACACAGAGTCGAGTGAGGAGTCAAGACATATACCACTGACAGCAACATCACAGCAAAACCACGTGAACGATGGTCGCGGCGGCGTTTCCTATCGTCAAACTGGCGACACTTGCCTTCCGACAAGTGGCCAAACCGATCGCCAATTCGTTCAAAACGCGGGCCAAGTCGTCGCCATTCTTCCGGAACTACATCTGTATGCCTCCGGCGCAGCTCTACCACTGGCTAGAGGTGAACGTCAAGATGAA